CAGTCGCTTCCAAGCATACAATCAGAACATTTCATATTATCACAGCCTTTTTAGTGATTGCACCTGCAAAATAAGTCACCATGAGCCCCAAGAAAGCTTCTAGTGCCAAACCTACAGCAAAAAGGGTGAGAATTACTATGGATATGAAGAAAGAGATCATTGCTAAGTATGAAAGTGGAGTGCGTGTCTCCGAGCTGGCCAGGTTGTACACAAAACCCCAATCAACCATCGCTACTATTGTGGCCAAGAAAATGGCAATCAAGGAAGCTGTTCTTGCCAAAGGTGCAACTATGTTTTCGAAACTGAGATCGCAAGTGATAGATGTTGAGAGACTGTTATTGGTGTGGATAAATGAAAAACAGATAGCAGGAGATAGCATCTCTCAAGCGATCATATGTGAAAAGGCTAGGAAGTTGCATGAGGATTTAATTAGAAAAATGCCAGCAACTAGTGGTGATGTGAGTGAATTTAAGGCCAGCAAAGGTTGGTTTGAGAGATTTAAGAATTGTAGTGGCATACATAGTGTGATAAGGCATGGTGAGGCTGCCAGTTTGGACCAAAAAGCAGCTGAAAAATATGCGCAGGAATTCAAGGAGTACATAGACAGTGAAGAATTGAAACCTGAACAAGTGTTTAATTGTGACACTGACAATGTTGTGAAACACTTTAGGAATGTCATAAAGGAATGGGAGGTACAGGCCTCTACGGACAGATATGTTGTGCGACAGAGGTCCAGTAACTCTCAAGCTGGTCCTAGTGGCATTAAAAGAAGAAGGGAAGTAACCCCGAAAAAGGACTTGCCACCTCAAGTCCTAATGGAAAGGGATTCCCCTTCTAAACACTAACACCATCAACACTCTCCCCTCCTCCCATCCCATCAATCATCACCAGATCTTCAATAAAGGTAAGTGTCATGTAACTGTGCATGTCTTCTTCAGTTTGTGTGTATTAAAATTAACATTTCATGTGGTAAATTTTTTTTTTTCAATACTTTTGGGTGTCTTGCACGGATTAATTTGATTTCCAATATTTCTTATGGGGAAAATTAACTCGGCTAACGATAATTTCGATGAACGATGAGCTCTCAGGAATGGATTAATATTGCTGGTCGAGGGTCCACTGTATTCAGAGATTGCTTCAAGTGTTTCGGAATTCAGAGATGTCGTATGGAGACAATATTGGAGATGGTAGGGGGAGGATGAGTAAAGATTGGAACTGTAATGGACTGTACCAAGGTAGGGGGGGGGCGAAAGGGTGGAGGGAACTGGAGAAGAAATGTGGAAGGGGACAGAAAAGGCAGAAACCTGGGAGGTGGCAGAAGAGGAAGAAACTTGGGAGGGAACAGGGGAGGAAGGTACAGTACGAGGAGGAGGGTGAACCTCTACACTTGTAACAGAGCCAGTGAGAGGGGAAGAACCAGGTACAGAGACAGGGAAGGTAAAATGAGGAGGTGGAAGAAGGGAAGGAGGGGTTAAAGGACCTTTTTTTTGACTTCTGAGAAGTAGAGGGACGATTGGGAGGAGGTGTCATACGAGATCTCGTCGATACTGAGGCTTGTGAGGGAGAACACGAAGAAGCGAGAACAGACTGAGGCGTTGAAGTAGGGACGTCTGAGCCTAGGACAGCAAAAGAATTAGATACAGGAGTGACTATGGGAGAGGTAACCACAGAGGAGGCTGCAGAAGATGGGACCCCAGAAGTGGGGGGACATTTTGAAACACGGGAATAAGAAACACGAGGTAGTCTCCCTTGGAGGCGGAGATGAGAAACTGCCATGGCATAAGGGAAACCTTCTGCCTCTTTGAGGTAACGGATTTCCCGCTCATTTAAGTAGACTTGGCAACGGAGAGAGTACGAAGGGTGAGCTTCATGACAATTAAGGCAAAAGGGAGGTCGATTGCAAGACGTATTAGAATGGCCATTGGCACCACAGACTGGGCATTCAGCTATAGATCTGCAATATTTTGCTGGATGGCCAAATCGCCAGCAATTTCTACACTGTTGCAGTGTAGGGATCACCTTTCGAACTTGTAACCGATGTCCTGCTACATAAACTGAGGATGGGAGTTCACGGCTGTCAAAAGTTAAACGAGCCACATTGCTAGGGTATCATCTCCGCCCGTGGGCAGGAAGAACATAAGTGTCTACCTTGAGGATTGGGAGATCTTGGAGTTCCAGCTGTTCAAGAATGTCATTGCCACATGTTTGGAAATTTTGTTGAACTATGGTATGGGGCAGAATGACAGTACCACTACAAGAATTGAGCGAATGATGTTTTTCAATAGTGACAGGAACAGTATCGATATGGGAAAGAAGAGAAAGATCATGAGCTTGGGTAGCATTCTGTACGGTGATGATGCACGTACCGCTCTTAAGAGCATGAAAAGAAATATCTTTACTAATATGGCGTAGGAGTGCCTTGCCAATACTGTGGTCAGAAAGATAGGCAGGAGAGGAAGTCGGTCGTAAAGTGAAGAATTTAGTCCATTGTGCATTCTGAAACTGAGCGTGGAAAGGGAGTGCAGGACGTGTCGATCTTTTCTGAGAAGAAGGAGAAGGCGCAGAAGTATCATCAGCAGGTAATTGTTGTTAACGTTTAGGCGTGGGACCAGAGTTGGTCCGATGTGGAACGGGCCGGCGATTCGAAAATTGCCGCACCGTAGAGGGAGAGGCCAGAAGCATAGCCAAAGGAGAGCGGAGGTCAGATAAATCGAAGGAGTCAGTCGAGACCTCAGTACCTGAAGCGGGTGAGGAAACAGCACCGGCAAGACACAGAGGCATGAGGAGTGTCTGAGGAGTGGTCCAAAGATGAGGCGGGGTCAGAACGGGGTGCAGTATCAAGAAGGGGCCCAGGGGTAGCAGGTTCATGGATTAGGGCTGCCATGGTTAGGTTACTTCTTTCTTTTTGTTTTTAAGAAAAAAAAGAAAGAAAAGAAAATAGAAATAAAAAAAGAGTAAAAAAAGGGGAGACCAGGGAGGGATAGTTCCTAGGAGAAATGAAAGGGCCAGAAATCTCCCTCCATGCCCAAGAGGTCCTCAGCACCGCAAGTAGCGCAGATGCAGCATGGAACCCGTGCCATACCCTACCCATCATGCCAGTAAACCAGCAATTCGGGATAGCAACCTCACATCTGCCAAGCTACCTCGGTGGACAAAAGAGAGGGCGGCCGGATATCTGCCACAGAGCATACCTCCTTCGGCCACCACCCCTGGAATCCGAAAGGTGGCTTCCACAGATACACCTGTCGCCCGAGACACCCAAAGCCACCCTCCGGGATACCGGAGAGGGATCGGGACATCCCCAGGCAATCCATATTCCACGGCAAACTACGCCACTGCCAAGAACCTCAAAGGAATGGGATGGACCCCGGTACCCTTTCTTGTACCTAGGAACTAGTGTGCCTGTGGGAAAAAATCCCCAAGGCCAAAAGGAAGGGGTGGGGAGGAGGAGGAGGAGGAGGAAAGGAAAAAGGGGAGGATGGGATAGGGAAGGGGGGATTGAGGGGTAATTAGGTTCGGTCTGAGGAAGGAGACCGACAGGTCTAATTCCTCAGACCAAGAGCCTCTTCACCACAACAAGGAGCCCCCCTTGAAGAGGAAGAGTCTTCGATAAAGGTATGTAATGTTCATTTATCATTAAAATTAGTCATTTATATTTATTTCTCATTGTTTTCTGTATGTAAAACTATAGTTATTCTTGAAAAAATGTATTTTGTTAATATTTTTGAGGGGAACAGATTAATTGTATTTATATTATTTATGGGAAATATTAATTCGGTTTTTGTACGATTCGGTTTTAGACCGACCTTCTGGAACGGATTAAGTATGAAAACAGGAGTTCCACTGTACTAACTTTAGGTGCCTGTCCAGTGCCTGCTTGAAGACAGCCAGGGGTATGTATGCTGGGAGGCAGTTGAACAGTCTTGGGCCCCTGACACAGATTGTGTTCGAAGTTCAGGATCATTGTAATAAGTATGATTTTTATAGGAGGTATGATCATTATGGAAGTTGGGTTTAGATTATTATAATCATGGGGAAGTGCTAAACCCATAGGATTATACAGCACCTGTGGGGGGGAATGGAAGGTATTTAAGCTTAATTCAGGGAACAGGAGTGCAGATCCAATTCTCTAGATCAAGAGCCCCTAACTAGCATCAAGGAACCTCCCTTGAAAGGAGTTGGGTTCTAAGTAGTTCTGAATGCTGCTCACAGAACTACTTAGAGGCCTGGTCACAGACCGGGCCGCGGGGGCACTGACCCCCGGAACTCTCTCCAGGTAAACAGGGTCATTGTTAAAGGTTTCAACAGAGGAACACTCATAGTTAAATTCAGCTCCCACCCTAGGGTCGACAGAGCACCAGATGATACCATATTGTCTGTTCCCTCAGGTAGAGACTCGAAGTGGACAAAAATATGAGAATATGGGAAACACTTAAAAGGGAAAATTACTAGGATTTGAGAGAAAAAAAGGGTTTAGCACTATTCTCTGAGAAATATGCTGCCACCAACCTATTCTTAACAGTAGAAGAGGTAAAAGTAGCTAGTCATAGGATAAGGGAAGACGTGGAATTTGGGTTAGAGCAGGATAAATCCATGAGAACTAATACAGGATAGCTATAAAAAGGTAGTGATCCTGATAAGTACTGGTTAAGAGGTAGCTTGCCATGAAAATTGAGCAGTAAGCAGCTAATCAGGGGCTTGACTCTCCAGAAAAAACAAAAATGTAAATCAATTTAAGTTCTGACAAATGGATCTTATATACATGGCTAAAAGGGGAAAAGTAAAACAAACCAAATAAAACAACTTACAATTTAATAAACAGACAGGCATTACAAGGGAATCTAAAATTTTGGGTCCCGATAAAAAAAAATTACCAGCATCAAATACATAAAAAGTATTAGAACATGCCTAACTTTTACTATAAATCCCACTCCACAGAGTTCCAAGGAAACTCCCTTACCTTAATCTACTATTTTTGGGTTACCTCCCTTTTGGGTTTAGTGCCTTAATACATTCCTTCTTCAGGCAGCCACTGAGATCTTCCGAATCCAAAATTACAAGCCTAGTCTGATCCTCCAGGACTAGAGTTTTAAGGTCTCTAGTACTGTAACTATACGTATATCCTTTCCTCAGTATATCTGGTTGAGTCTGCTAACTCTTAGGCATCTCTTCAGGGGTGCCTGGTTTGGCCAACCTGTAAACTTATACAGTACTAATTCTTAGGCATCTATTAAGGGTTGCTTGGTTGCTGCTAAACCTATAAGAGTATCTTCTGGTTTAGTCACAAAATACAGAAGCAAGAACTACTACAGTAAATACTGAAAGACCTTACAAAATTATGTAATTAACAAAACGGTAGTCCACATTCGTAAAACAATAAAATGACATAATTCACTTATAAAACTTAAATGGCATATAATTCACTTATAAAACTCAAAAGATTATAGTAACAAAAAAATTAAGACAGGTAGCTGAAATAAAGTAAACACCCAACAAAACTTAATGAACTTATAAGACAAAATAATGAACATATTCAGTACAAATCATATATATAAAAACTGGGCAAATACACAGAACAAGATTTGAAACATGGACTACCATGAATATGATAAGAAACAAAAAATGAAATAGTTGTTAAAGATAGCGAAGATAGGTATAAGCTAGGTTAAGTTGAGTAATTAAGTAATTAAGGGTAAGTTACAGGTAGAAGGTAAACTACAGAAAAATAACACATAGTTATGCATAAGTAGTAGATAATTAATAAAACAGTATTAGTATAAAGGAGTTTAGAGAAGTTATAGGTTAGAAATAAAGAATATTAAGGTAGATCAAAGGTTAAGAAAAGATTTACCAGTCTTACTCCACCTCTATTATAATTAATAACAGAAATCTTGTAAAATACTAAAAGAAAAATAGATTTAATAATAATTACTTTAAAATAGGCTAGTATAAAGATGAGAATAAGACTGGCATAGGGTAGTCATGGCCAAACAGTTAGTTAGTTTAATATGTTTATTATGCACCCCATACCCATCCTGTGGGCGGTAGTCAAAAGATTACAGAGGTACATAATGGGTCCAGGGACTGGGCCTTAAAGTTTTGATAGCTGAGCAAGTTACAGAGGTAATGAATTCACAATTTACAAAGGTAATGAACTCACAATTTACAAAGGTAATGAACTCCAGGTAGGTCTAGTCACAATCATGACAAGTTACAAAGGTATTTACAGATTACAGAGGTACACAATGGGTCCAGGGACCGGGCTCCAAAGTTTTGATGGCTGAACTAGGTACAAGGTAATGAACTCACAAGTTACAAAGGTAATGAACTCACAAGTTACAAAGGTAATGAATACTGTAAGAATGGTTACTTACGTTTATACATGGGTGCAATCATGAACAAATTTTAGAGTAATGAGCAATTCACACTTCCACACCCGGTCACAACTGTAGTGAGTTATTGGTGCAAATGTTGATTGTTGAGTCTCTCTCTCTCTCTCACACACACACACACACATACAAATTCATACACACACACACATAAACACACACACACACACATACAAATTCATACACACACACACATAAACAATCATTTCCACCTTAAATTATCATTAATCTTACAACTGACTAAACATCCAATATATCTCTCCCCTCACAATAATTTTTACCTTGAATACTAACACCATAAAAATAATCATACACGAAAAACTGAATTTTAAACACTATATTACAACTAAACAAAAAAATTTTAATGAAAATATTGGAACCACCAATAATTAGTTATTATCAATATATACAGTGGTTAATCTTGGGTAATGATCTGATAACATATATGATGGTAAAATCTTTACAATGTAACTCTCACAGCGGACATTATCAAGGTTAAAACCAAGACACAGATCAAGGATGCCTCCATAGACATGTGTGGGCTCCAAGTCACCTACAAATTGCACATTATCATTTTTATTTAAAAGTGACAACAGTTGTCTGCCATTACGGTTAGTAAACTCTGAGTCTCCAATGTTGGTGTGCCTTGCATTATAATCTCCTAGGATAAAAGTAGGTTGAAACGTAGCACATAATGGGAGCTCCGAGTAATTAAATTCATTACGAGGGGCATACAAGTTAAATATATTGAGAAACTTAAGAGCAGAGTTCTTAAAATAAATCTTAACTCCATGATATTGAAGGCCGTCTGTTTTCTCATCTTCAAGGAGTATATGGTGAAGTGAGTTTTTAACATAGAGCACACACGAGTTAGTAGATTCCAAGTTATATGTAATAAATGATGGTAATTCAGGGGGCTGGTACTCTTCAGAGACACCGCACTCTTGTAAACATATAACGTCAATGGAATTATATTTGATAATGCCGTGAAGAACATAAGCTCTTTTTTTAAGCGATGCTATATTCCAAGTAAATATATCAAGTTGATAAGAGTTTTTAGCCGTACTTCTGGCCCGGGTCTTCTCCAGCTGGCCCCGCGGGTGTGGGATGCTGGTGGTCTTCCGTCTTCCGGATGGAGAGGATCTTCTTCTTCTCTCTTGTGTGCGGCAGTCCATAGCTTCAGTTTGTTTACATGTTGTACTGCACTTGGGTTATATAGCCGAGAATTTTTTTTTATTTTCCCTCCGCGAAAGAAACTAGTCCGACTGGTCCGAACCCTTGACTGGTCCGAACCCTTGACTGGTCCGAACCCTTGACTGGTCCGAACCCTTGACTGGTCCAAACCCTTGATGGTCCGAACCCTTGACTGGTCCAAACCCTTGATGGTCCGAACCCTTGACTGGTTTCAAACGGTTTCGTTGGACAATAAAGCAGACTGTAAACGGATGGGGTTGTAGGCGCCCTTATAAACACAAACATTAAAAATCAGGAACGTGCACGGTAAGCTGTCCAATATACAAAAACAGTTAGAAACAGAAATACATATAGCTAGAGCTTCATTTAAGGAGGTTATTAATAGAATATTCAAGAGGTTGCTAGTAGAATTGCAGTAAATCAACCATTCAAATCATTATGAAGCTGTGTGTAGTCTGTGGTCAGTCAAACAAACGGGCTTCCACATGGATAAATTGTCATTTTTGTGGAAATTGGTGTCACGCCCCTTGTGCATTATTATTAGTATTATAATCAAAAAGAAGCGCTAAGCCACAAGGACTATACAGCGCCCCTTGTGCAGATATCCAAGAACTAGCTACAAGCAGTATTAAAACAGAGAAGTGTTTTTGGGTATGCCCAAATGAGAAAAATCTGTGGACTAAAATCACAAGGGTATTAAAAGAGGTCAACATCAAAGCTGCTTTCATAGGAAACCTGGAAGCTTTCTACAACAGATGGGAACATAAAAAGTCTGGGCTGAATGGTACTGCCCTTGATACTGGCCATGTAGTCAGAAACTGTAAGGCTGGAGATGATGTCCTGGTAGTCAGTAAATGTGGGGCTGATAGTGCTGTCCTGGGAGACAGTGTTGGTGAAGCTGGAGGTGCTGTCCTGGGAGACAGAAATGGTGAAGCTGGAGATACTGTCCTGGGAGAAAAGTAATGGTGAAAACTGGAGGTGCTGTCCTGGGAGACAGTAATGGTGAAGCTGGAGGTGCTGTCCTGGGAGACAGTAATGGTGAAGCTGGAGATGCTGTCCTGGGAGACAGTAATGGTGAAGCTGGAGATTTTGTACAGGTAGTCGGGAATTATACGCAGGAAGGAATACATATAAGTGACCTCATAGGGGACAGGAACCATAGTAGGGAAACAAGTGTAGTCAAAGATAAGATAAAACCAATATTGCAAACTAGAAATACCGCAGGAAATAGCAAACAAGAGGACTCCAATAGCAATAGTGAGGATATATTACCAAAAACAACTGGTGGGAGCTCCATTGTTGGTGCTAGGGAGGATAGAAGTAAGACAGGGAAACATGCACCAACAGGGAATACAGTCACAGAAACCCAAGGCAAGCAGAAACCAAGCCTGTGCACATACTATGCACTTGGTATCTGCTGGCATGGGAAATCTGGAAAAACAGAGGGACGTGCAACTATGACCACCCTAGAAAATGCCATGCACATATGACAACAGGAAAATGCAAACTCCCTTCCTGTAAGCTTTTTCACCCTGAACTGTGTACCTTTCAGTACAGGAAAGACTGTGCTATAACTTAAATTGCCAGGCATACCATCTAAAGGGGACAAAAAGATACAAAACATCCAGGCCATGGGAAAACCTGGGTAGCCACAGCCACTCAAGGGAGAGGTGTTTTTAGTGCCAGGAAGGAAAAAAACTGGCAGGAAATGGCAGAAATCGTACACCAAATCCAGTCATTCCTGAAGTGGAACCACAGTCAATGGCCTCCACTCCAAACCAACAGATACAGATACTAATGCCGGAAAAAAAAATCCCCCCCCAGTACCAACAATACCACCAGTCCGATAACATTCTTCTTTGCAAATATACAGGGTCTAAAGCCAGCAACAAACAACAAAATACCTTTCATCTGTGGACTGCTTGCAGAGGCAAAGGCAATGTTCGCGGCTTTCACTGAGACCCACATAAAGGATCACTTGGACAACGAAATATGGATCCCAGGTTACAACCTATACAGATGTGACAGAGTGAACTGGCAAAAGGGGGGTTGGCCTGTACATTGCAGAGTCATTTGTTTGCACAGAACTGCTTAAGCCAAAAGATGTTGAATTTTAGCATAAAGGCGAAACCAAAACCTAGTATTGGGGGTATCTAAACCTCCGGATGCAACACCCCCAGCAATTCCAGGAACGGTTTAAAAATTGACCACTGTCGGGAAAAATTTTCCCCACTCCTGCCCCCCAACATCTTGCTCCTGGGGTTTTAATTAAGGCACCTAAAAGGGAGGAATAAGCAAATAAATTTGTTGCAAAATAACCCCAAGGGGGCACTCTGATGAAAACTCACACTCACCGAGTTTTAAATCTCGTACAAATTTCTTTTTAAAAACCAGCAAATAATAGAGTACTAGATGGAAATAATAACCTCTCTTCACAACATGATGATCTGATAAAAATGTCACCATATCAAAAAAAATTACTCAATCACACATAATTGGGGGTTCAACATGATGCGGGGAGCCCCAGACCGAAAAAATGGACTGCACGGGGGAGCATTCCCCAAAATTTTAAATTTCAATAACAAAAACCAAAAGGGGGCCCAAATAACCAATCCTAACCGATAAAAGGGGGAAGATGTACTAAGCAACACAACCCCCAATTTATGCCTAGAACAGATTAACTCGGGGCACCGATGTATGCACAACTTTTCCCTAAGAAAAAGGAGGAGTGGATGTAAATAGAAAGAGACAGGCCCCCTTTACAGGCGACAAAAAAGAATAACAGAGGCTAAAAGAGGTAAATATCGAAAGCGGGGGAGACATGGTCAAAAAATGAAGCATCAAATTTAAGCAAAAGAACCCTTTGGGAGTCAGAATCGGGGGAAGAACTAAAACCCAAATAAAAACGAAAAAACCCAAAGTATTTCTTTCCCCTATGCCAAATCAAAATCGAGAAAAACGCCATTTTGGGGGCCCCTACTTAAACAAAGGGTCCTACACAGATGACAAAGGGAAATGATGAACTAAAGTCCCAATAGACCAGTTTTTAGCAAGCCGCTAACCCAAACTGAGAGCGGATAAAAAATGAATTTTTTTTAAGGGCCCACAAAATTTATTAACACAAGCCTATCCATTTATCCTGACCCAAATATTTCGAACGGGCGATAAATGACATGTTCCCTGCCTCTGCCCCGGGGCCAGACTCATGGAACTTTTGGTTCATAAAGAACGCAAAAACCCCCTATCACGAGCCTTTTCCATCCTAGGAAGGAGCATGGAAGGGGGTCGTCCCACGTTACTAAAAAAACGACAAGCCCCACTTCCAAAAGGGGCAAAAAAAGAAACAGCAAAGAACTACAGACCAAAGCACTAACACCCATTCAAAAAAAATCTTTGAAAGGGCCCAAAGAAAAAGTCACCACCCATCTAGAAACCCACATTACCAACCCAGGGCAACATGGGTTTAGAACGGGTCGCTCCTGTCTGTCTCAACTATTGGTTTCACTCGAAAAGGCCCCTAAATGCACTAAAACAAAAAAATGAATGTAAAAATTTAAACTTTGAAAAAGGGCCTTCGACAATGTGACCAGGCAAAAAGCGCACAAAATGCGTACTAAAGGAATAACGGGAAAAAGTCGGCGATGGATCTAAATTTCCCAAAAACAGAACAAGAGAGTATCCAACAGAGAAAGCCCCAGGCGTACGGTGAAAAGCTTGTTCCACAAGGCACAGTATCGCTCCCACTTTTTCCCATCCTCTACCGACATGCAAGGATGTCAGCCACACACCCTGTCTTCCTTTGCGATACACCCAATCTGCTGACAGTGCTTCCCTTTCAGACCTGCAAGGCTCCAGGGGGACAAACCAAAACTTTCAGTGGGCTGCGAAAACAATATGAAGTTCAACGATGAGAAATTTTAATTACCAGAAAGGGAAACATGAGGAAATTAAAACTTTTATCAGAGTCAAAAAAAAATTTTTTGGGCCCAAAAAGCGAAACACCCAAGCAAAGCCGGGAGTGATTATTCGGAGGGTCTCACCTCAAGGCCATAACATTGTATCAATGCATTGCTAAAAATGACGGAGGGAAAGAGAACCTTCAAAATAGGGAGGGGCCCAAACCCAAAAGAACACTCTTCGGTCACTTGTTCTATCTAGGGTGGAAATTTCTGCCACTAACAGACCTTTCAAGGGAGGTAAATTCCGACCCAGAAAATGTACAGAGAACTTTCAAAAGCGCGCATAACGGGGTAAAACCCTGAATTACTGGGAGCGCTTGAGGTTCCTAAACCTTATTCCCGGAAGCAGAGGGAGAATACGATTTATACACCGGAAAAACCTAGAGGGACTAGTACCGAACTTTCCAGAAAAACACTCACTATGAAAGCAAAAGGGTTGGCAGACGATGCACCCCTCCCCCCCAAGAAAAGAGGGGTGTCACACACTTAAGAACCATACAAATAATGTCGGGGCCCCAACTGTTCAACTGCCCCCCAGCACACATAAGGGGGGTTTTCCAACAGACCCGGGAGTCTTAAGCTGGGACTGGACAAGCACCTAAAGTCAGTTTTCCCATCAGCCGGGCTTGGCTCGTCGTTGTTTTGCGGCAGCCGCAGCAACGCCTGGTTGATAGGCCCCGTCTACCAGGAGGCCCGGGCCAGACCGGGGCCCCAGGGCGTTTACCCGGAACCCTCCCGGGGAAAACCCCGGGAAAAACTTTTCCGCTGTTAATCCTAGGTTAGCGCTCCCCCATCATTATAATAAAATAAAAATAAACTAAACTTTTTTCCTGGAAAAATATCTGTCCCCAAAGCCATTTTTTCAAATTCCCCATTTTAAAAAAAACCAAAGACAACGTCATCATATCAATATAAGACTACTATTGTGAAATACAGTTTACTAAAAATTCCATAAAAACAAATATAACACATAAAACGTGAAATAATAATACTGCCTTTAATGCACTGAGGGACAAGCTGTCATTTTTTTACATGCAGACTGATCAACGCTTCAATATGGGCCAATTCAACCATAACTGCACTAAAGGGACGTAGAACCCCGCATGACCCAAGAAAATAAAATGATACTTACAAACCGATAAAATTTTCCGATTGAAACGAAAAACTGCCCCCTAAAAACTCCA